TGACAGCATGCAAAAAGCAGGATTATGATGGTTCCTCCTGCTATTTCCACTAAGCCTCTGAGCTTTAGCTAGCATCATTTGCTGCCTGAGTTTTAACTAATTATCTATGGGGTACTTCAGAAAAAAGAGCTCTAAGTAGCTTGTCCTTTAAGGATCTTAACTGTAACTTTTTGTAAATCCTGTAATTTGCCCAATGGTTCATCACATCCATGTTATATAAATGATAGTTTTTTCCAGAATATTTTCAACAAATGAAGATTCTTAGATATGTTATATACCATTTTCCTTCAGAAGAATTTGTTGAGGAGTTTGCCCATTACCATGAATAAAAATCCCAAAGAAGGTAGAACTAATAAAAGCTTTTATGCGGAATGTTGGCTTTTGAATCTGTGAATATCTTTTTATACCATACAAGCTTTTTCCCCTTTTCTCCTTTTTTTTTTTTTTTTTCAAATAGGGAATAACTAGTCACCTTGTTAAGTCTGTAGTGCATCATCTAACTTCCTTTAAGTCATTTAAACTTGCTTTAAATACTTCAAAGCAAACCCAAAGGTAGCTCATTTAGCTCATTGCAGCATTACTTTGATGCCACATTTGGAGTAAGTTACAGGGAAACGGCACAAGTGCTTTGTGGACTTGGCTTGCAGTGCAGCTGAAGAGCCACTAAATTTAGCACATGGAGCCACATACACCAATCGCCCTTTGGATGGAGGGTGTGAAGAGTTCACATGAGTTGCTTTGCACTTCACAACATTTGTGCTCATGGCAAATGTCTAGTGCAGGACCTGAATTCCTGAGAAAGTTTGTATTTGGACTGGCATTTCCATCCTCAAATTATAAAGCCTGTAAAACAGCCTTCAGTCTGGAAATTAATGAGAGGCCATAAAACAACCTTGAGAGAGAGCATAGGATAGGGAAAGAGCTAATATAATGCATAAACTTCAAGGATTCAATTCAGCTTTAGAAAGATGACCAAGAAGTGAACAGAGGAGATAGGATTTGGTCTATTTTACATGAACTTATATGAAGATTGTACTAGTAACAGATGTAATTACTACCATTATGTAGACTTGATGCCTGTTTGATAGCCCTACGTATAGAGCAGAATCCTCTTCTAGAGTCACCAGGGCTAGGCTGTTTTCCATCTAGCACTAAACAGGGATTCCTCTGCAGATGCCCCAAAACTTCATTTGAAACACGATCTTATCTTAGGCTGGAGTTACTCTCTGGATTAGCCACCTGCTATCATTACTGTATGGTTTCTTAGAATTTCATTTCCAGCTTGTACCTGAGGGAAGAGAACAGGAGTGTCTCGAAACAGCCCTGAGCACTGCAGTCTATGGACCAGGCCCTGTTTTGCTCAGTGTTATGAGGATCGGGTGGTTAAGGCTTGTGGATTGAGAGCCACGAAGACTCCTCAAGCTGATGGCCCTCACCAAGGGGAAGTTTAGTGCTATCTGCAACTTCAGAGAAGCRATTCTACATGCTTTGAAAAGTAGCAAATTGGATTGTTTCTTGAGGAGCAGTGAAGTCTTGGTACCTAATACTTAGCCTCCAGGGCATTCCTGTACTTGATATTTTCTTTCATCAGTGTGGTTGCTGGTTGGATGAAGTACTTAGCAGCTCAGCAGAAAACTTGAGAGCAACACCAATCTATCACACTGGAAGCAATCAATCTGGAGTCTCCTTACAAGCTGCTGTCTGCTCATGTTATCGCTTCCTAACAACCAGAAGAGCCTGAATGTTGGCTGCAAAGTCACCTTCCTTGTAAGCAGATCTTGTCAGCAGCCGTCAGTCTGAGTCTGTGTTTATGTGGAGGCTTCACAGGTCAGTTGGGGTTAGGTAAAAGATACCAATTTCATATCAGAAGTTACTGGTTGGTTTGTGCTCTTGCAAAATCTGCTTCCACCTGCTGTGGAATTGAACAGCAGCTGGTCCAGCCTAAGGTGGATACATGAAGCACAGGGCTTACTCAGTGGTCAACCTGGTCCAGATCCTCAAACTTCCTTATCCACAGGGACAGCAAGTTTACTTAGAGAGTCTTTTATATTTGGATCTTTTATATTTAAGTAACATTTGATTTTTATCAACTTCAGACTCTTCCTCTGGCAAATTACATGATACTGGGTGCTGTTTCTTCTGAAAAAATGGGTAGCTGCAGTTGAGATGCTTCAGTGATCCTCAGTAATGGCTGTAGATGGCCCTTCTGCACCTGCTGCAACAATTCTTGGAACTCCTGCTATAGAAGATGTTAACTTAGGCTTTAACTCACGTGTGTTGCAGAGAAGTTAGGCTGCAAGCCACAGATGAATGAGAAAAATCTGGACTGAGTGTGTGCAAGTGTGTGTGTGTGTGTGTATATATATTTATAAGTATATATGCACATTCTGTGAGGGTGACAGAGCACTTGAACAAGCTGCCCAGGAAGGCTGTGGAGTCTCCTTCTCTGGGGATCTTCCAAACCTGCCTGGCTGCCGCCCTGTACCCCGTGCTCTGGGTGTCCCTGCTGGAGCAGGAGGTTGGACTAGATGATCCCTAGAGGTCCCTTCCAACCTCAACCATTCTGTGATTCTGTGATATACATATCATATATGTATACGTGCAAGTATGTTAGCCGGTATAAGCATGTTAGCCAGTATTTTTTAACCCGTGGGAAAAAGGTAACTTTCCTGCCCAGAACTGCTTTTCTTCATATAACATACATTACGAAAAGCATTTAACTTAAATGCTTGGCTGCCTCAGAATGACAAATGATAGGAAAAATGCTTGATTCTGTAGTAGTCGTTTTGAAGTACCTGTTAAATTGTATAGTCTATGTGTCTCTTCTTGTGCCTGTAGATCATACAGGAAACTTTTATTGTGCGGATCTAGACGTAAGGGAGCTCGGATATAGCCCAGATCCCGTGTGTTACTTGGGAGAACCCAAGTAGTGTGCTTGGAATAGGAAGCTGTTTATTCACATGCTCTTCTGTGTCTGATTTGAGGTGCATCTCCCAGAAGTGAATCATGTGGAGGGTCTGTCACACCATTCACTTGGTATCCGGCCCCATTTAATGGATGTTCCATGGTCACACATCCTCCTGACCGCTGGAGACCTCCGAGTCAGTTCCTTAGCCTGTGTTTTATTGCATAGTCTATTGCTAACCTCTAAATTTGAAATCTCCCTGGAGCTGAAGCCACACTGTGCAAAAATCAAGTATCTATCAGATTGGCTGTGTAAAGTGAACTGGCAGCATCAGATGTGCCCAGTGTGTCTGTTTTGCATGATGATATGGAAGATGGGAGTCTGGTCAGTGGGTTCCTGTGCTAATATCTGGTTGCCAGTTACTGATATTGGTCAAATACACGTATAATTCTCAGTTTTGGTGTTCCTCTTTCCTCTAAGGACTTTGTGCTAAGCCTCTTTGTCTCCTTGTTCTGCAGTTATTATGAGAGTTCTGCAAGACTTAAATTTAATATTAATATTTAACATTAATTCCTTAAAAGTCTTCAGGACAGGCGCCAGCCTCCTTCTCTTCAACTGTTCACTGCTTGTGTTCACAAATGCAGTGGTCTGGCTGGAAAGCAGAGCTAGCAATTCAGTTGTTTTTTTCTAATAATTATGTCAGAAGGAAATATGGACATCTTTATATGGGAGCAAACTAATACTGTTACCAGGCATATTTTCCAAAAAAGTCCCTAGCCTTGCTGGTACCAATTTCCCACCCACCCCCCAGTACTATTTCAATACTATTCTATGTATACATAGAGAAGAGAGAGTCTGGTTGTTGTCTGCTTGTCTGTAAGTAGCTCAGTGAATTAACTTGGCCTCTCAGTCAAAATTACCTTAATCAAAGCTCTTAGCTACTCCAAAATCTTTTTTTTAGGTAGAACCGTTCACATTCTTACCTGTTTTGTCATTATTTTACTTTCGTCTTGGAAAATGAGGTTTTATGTTTGCCTGACTTCGTTTTTTGTGTCTCTGCTCAAGCCATGAGCTATGGGCTCTACCGGCTTCGAAGCGCCCAGCGTTTCCCAGTCAGTGTTTCCTTTTTGTTGTTTGTCTCAGCGCATGAATCGGGCACTTGTAAGGAAGAAGAAAACATATTTTAAATGAGTCTAGCGAGAGTCGATGGGATTTACGGGAACCCAACGACTCTTACAAAGATAGTGCTGTCCGCTCCGCTTGTCCTCAACCCCCTTTGGCTCTTGCTCCTCAAAGGAGGATAAGGAAGCGGAGCCAGTTGATGAGGGAAGCAGCAGGTGCTGCTCAGATATAAAGAAATCACAGTAGGGGCTGGATAGAGGGAGCAGGGAAATAAATGTTGCCTCCCAGCAGTGTCAGGCACTCACTTTTTGAAAGCCTGTGATCAGTGTGTGGCCAAGGCCCTGTCCTGCGCTGGCCTGCAGGGCTGTAGGTCCTTGAGCCCCCTCAGCTGGTCTTGCCTGATGGACCTTACACTGCTACCTGTTGCTGCTGAAGCCTTATTAGATAATATTCTGCACTAGATTTTCTCTTTTATAGCATATTTCTGGCTTACGGAATAATTGCTTTCTAGTGATGCCTGGAGAACACTGCCTCGGTGCAGGCGGCCTCAGGAGGCCAGCACCCAGGCCGGGGTTCTCAAGAGCTAGTTTGTGTGGCCGAATCAAGGATATCGTGTTACTGCTATCTGCCTTCCTAGAGCCATTGATGTTTTATTGCAGCTTTGACCTGCTGGTTTCTAAGTTTATGTGTGTTCTTACAGATAGGATCTAGCATAACAGCCTTTTCCCTTGAAGCTAAAAAATCAAACTGTGTTCTCTGTTTATGCACGTGCCTAGAGAAGAACCACAGTTCTGCATACTAGTTGCTTACAAACCGTTTTCCAAAGTCAGAGTAGATCCAATATTACCTTTATAAAATAGATTAAGAATTGTAGAACAGAAATGTATGTTTACTGGGTCATGTAACATTAAATTAAAGCCTTGCGTGGTACAAAAGAATGTATTTTCATAATCTTGTTTATCTTTTAAAACAGACTGGAGGCCAAGAACAGAGAGCAGCACTGGCTGTAGGTAAGAACTGAAATTTACCCTGCTTAAAATCTCTCCTAATCTCTTAAAAGGCAAAAAAAGGATTATGTTGAACATGACCAGTTTGCTCTTCAAGAATTCCTTTTTTCCTCCCTTTGCTGTAATATTTTCTGAAATACCTATTCTTTGCAATAAGTAATTTGATCTATAACTGAATCCATTTCCGTTTAGTTGAAGATGAACAAAGTTGCACAGCAGTGTGTGGTGGGCGGTGCACCAGGCGCTTTGAAGGGTTTTCACTGCAGCAACGTGAAGAAATCCGGTTGTTTGAAGTATAAGGCATTTTCAGTGTGTACAGAGCATGCTTATTTGGCAACATTTAAGAGCTTATCCTGAAAGACTGGGTTTAAACTTAGATGATGGGGATGAGGTGATAATGTTGCTTTATTCTTTTTCAGAATTCATTTGATTATTCTTTTGTCTGTACTGAAGTTACATAAGAACTTACGATCTTTTTCTGGATCAAGTGCCTTAAGCCAGGAACCAGTATTTTACAGATTCACAGAATCACAGATTCACAGAATATTTAAGGTTGGAAGGGACCTCTACAGATCATCTAGTCCAACCTTCCTGCTCAAGCAGGGACACCTACAGCATGTGGCACAGGGTGGCATCCAGGTGGGTTTTGAAGACCTCCAAAGTAGGAGACTCCACAACCTCCCTGGGCAGCCTGTTCCACTGCTCTGTCACCCTAACAGTAAAGAAGTTGCTCCTCACCTGGAGACAGAACTTTTTATGCTTCAGCTTGTGGCCATTACCCCTCGTCCTATCGCTGGCCACCAGTGAGAACAGCTTGTCCCCTTCCTCCCTGCATTCTCCCTTCCTGAACTTATTAATCATATCCCCTCTGAGCCGTCTCTTCTCCAGAGAAAACAGGCCCAGCTCACTCAGCCTCTCTTCATACGAGAGATGTTCCATTCCCTTAATCATCCTGGTTGCCCTTCTCTGGACCCTCTCCAGAAGCTCCACGTCCCTCCTATACTGGGGTGCCCAGAACTGAACACAGTACTCCAGGTGCGGCCTCACCAGAGCTGAGTAGAGGGGCAGAATCACCTCCCTTGACCTGCTGGCAACACTCCTCCTGATGCAGGCCAGGATCCCATTGGCCTTCTTGGCCACGAGGGCACACTGCTCACTCATGGTTAACTTAGTGTCAACCAGGACTCCCAGGTCCCTGTCCGTGGAGGTGCTTTCCAGCAGGTCGACCCCTAATCTGTACTGATGCCTGGGGTTATTCCTCCCCAGGTGCAGGACCCTGCACTTGTCCTTATTGAACCTCATGAGGTTCCTCTCTGCCCAACTCTCCAGCCTGTCCAGGTCCCTCTGGATGGCAGCACAGCCCTCCGGAGTGTCGGCCACTCCACCCAGCTTGGTGTCATCTGCATTTTGGACCAGCCTTTAGGGTGAAATGGGACGTGTGCTGATGTGATGGTTCTACCTTCTAGTTTTAAACACTGCTTGACATGTGAGCTACCATACAGTGTATTTAGTGTGTTAGACTTCATGCTTACTGTGCTGTGCCCTCACAGCTGTGTTTCACCTGTTAGGTTGTGAAGGAAATGATACTAAATATGAGGTAGGGTTTCTTTTTTCTTCAAATCTGGTAAGTCATCAAAAAGCYTTTTGAATTCCAGGGAGCTGATTAATTATTTCTCATCAGGATGGTTGGGAATAGTAGAAAACTTTGTGAGTTCAACCTCTAAAGGTGCATGAATACCATATTGAAGAATTATGAGGCATTATGTGTCACCTAAATAATTGCCCCATGAATTACAGTATGCGATCAATATATTAAAATGTGTTGGGTAAACATCAGTGGTTTTGTTGAGATTTGTTTCAGATTTTGGTTCCATTTCTTAGAGCTTGCAGGTTCAGGTGAACAATATGTTTACCAGCATTGTGTCTATGTGAGTTTTTAGGAGGAGTCTAGGAGCAAAACACACATACARTGGTGTTTTCCTGACCTGTAACACATTGCAGCCGAAAATAGCTGGTAGTAGGGATGGTAGCATTTTCGTTTGATGGCTCTTAAGTCACTTGTCCRAGTGTGGAAGGAACAAAATTCCAGTTTGAACCCGTGCAGAAGTTTACAGCTCGCTGTATGTTTGCCAAGGATGCGGTATCAGAGCCACCCTGGTGAGTCAGCCCTTGGCTCTGTCTGGACAAGCCTGCACCGTCCTGCTTCCCTCTAAATGTGTGCTCCTTCCACACCTCCATATGCCAATGTGTTCCTTTCCTAGGAAAGACTAGGAAGGGGGAGAGCCTGCACTAGTGTGTTTAGTGCAGAAATATTTTTAACTTAAGTATTTTTCTTATCCTGATGGTACCCCTGTAGGTATTTGATATTCTTTTGTGGTAAGTTGTTTTGTGTGCAGAAGTTGTTCTAGAACTTTGATCCTATATGTAGTGCTTCTCTGAGCTTTCCCATTTCTTCCATATTCTTCTTGAGATGAAGGAACCACAGTTTSCTTGTATAAATCAGTGGTTTCAAATCAGTGGTTTCAAACTGAATCACTGTCAATGAGCAGAATTACCTACAAACCTGAGCTAAAATTAACATGAATCAAAGATCTTTATCCAGAATTGTAATAAATAGCTTGCAACCTGTAATCTTCAGTATGAAGTTGGGATGATTTTTTTCCCTGATTCATCAGCATAGTTTCCTGCRTTAAATTTTACTGTCAAGCCACGTTGGTCTTCTGAGATCTCCTGCCTCACTCTACCCTCGTGACCAGTGTCACCTCAGACCCTCTTATCATGCTGCTCTGGGCCGTCCTGGGTCGTGTACGTTGAAGGAGCCCGGTGAAACTCCAGCACTGACTTCATTGGTCGCTTGTTCCCTTCCTTTGTTTCTGTCCTTTTAACAGTTTATCTAGGAATCTTCCTTCTCGTATGGTTGCTCTTCATTTTTATCTTCTGGTTGCTCTATGGTTCTCTCCATGTAGAAGTGGCTTTTCTTTTCTTCCCCCAGTCTACTGCCTGTCTGGTTTTGTTCTTGCTTTTGAAAGCAGGTAGGGTAGTAAGGAATATCAGCTTGTTGGTCTTCTTCTGCCGTGCCATCAGCAACCTGATGTGTTTCATCATCTTTCTACGTCTGCAAACATGCCTCGTGCAGCTGTGTACTGGAAAGAGACAACTCCGTGGGATATTGAGCAAACTTTCCTRAAATGCAGAACTCAGCCCTTCCAGGGATGTGGTTAGGAAGCCAGAGGACCTCCTGTCCACCTCGGTGACTCGGAGCTCATACATCACCCAAGTGAGTTCTCAAGTGTGGTAGCATCAGGGTAATCTGCAAAACCYGAAGCATATTAGAGTCAGGCTCATATGGATGAGAGAATATCTATATTTGGAATTCCCTCCCCAAAAAACTCAAATAAAATTAGGCTCACAGAGGCAAGAAGTTTTTATTTTTCCCGTAGTTAAGTTAAGGATTGAAGACATTTTCTTTCTAGACAGCACTTAGATAAGACCTTAACTTTTTAGCTTGTGTTGGAAGATGTAGCAGGAGAAAAACTTACTATAATTTTTTTTTATTCCTTTTTATATGTATTTTTTCCCCTGGGAGGGAAACTTGCTCTTCAATCACACTGACAATCCTTGTAGCATGAAGCTTTCTTTGGACTGTGTACCACACTTTCAATAGGCATGTCGTCTTTTTGTAGATGTATGAAAAATTTTTACAAAAGTTTGTCTTCTGATTTGTAAATCGTGTAAATCTTCAGTTTTATATTAAAAAAACTCTTATAATTTTTTTTGTAAAGCAGTTAAAAAAAAAAAGTGAAAACCTGCCCTTTTTTCCCCTCAAAACTTACCTGCAACCATCATAAGAGAGGGGAAGCGTGCTGCAGAGGTGTCCTTTAAACACTCCATCCTCGGGTGCCACACCGAACCCTTGGTGTTGAGCCGAGGCCAGAGCAGCATCTGTCCAGCCCAGGCTGAAATGGCAGCTCTGTCTTGCAAAGCGCTCGTCTGCCGGGGGAACATGCAGTAGTGTTCTCAGTGATTGCAACTCATGKTTTTTTTCCCTGCTGTTACATGCAGTAATTTTGGGTTCTTTATGTTCCCTTCCTGCTTGCTTTCTTCTTGCAATGCAAGCAAATGTAAATGGAAGGCGCTCAGCTTGCTTAGAAGAGAGGGCAGATCTGCCAGTCCCTTTGCGCRCAGATGTCGCTGCTAGTGAAACGCGGGGTTTGGGCTGAAAGGAAACTGCCTCCCGTCAGTGTGGGCAGCGGGGCCCTGGTGCCAGGGCGGGTGTCGGGCCTTGGTGGCACCCGCGCGACGCCGCGGTGAAGCAGTGACCTCCGCTGGAGCAGCTGCAGCGCTGCAGGGCCTCGCCGCTTCCCGCTCTCCCRCAGAAGGCAGAGTACCGGTTCTGTTCGGATAGAGTGTCTCTGACTCCGATGCTTGCAATTGAGTTAAGGCTGAGAGCRCTGGGCCTGTTCAGCCTGGAGAAGAGAAGGCTGAGGGGGGACCTGATCAGTGTCTATCAATACCTCAAGGGAGGCAGTGAGGAGGAGGGGGTGGCCTCTTTTCAGTGGTGGCCAGCAACAGGACTAGGGGAAATGGCTACAAACTGAGGCATCAGAAGTTCCACAGGAACTGAAGGAAACATTTCTTGACAGTGAGGGTGACARAGCACTGGATCAGGCTGCCCAGGGAGGTTGTGGAGTCTCTTCTGGAGATATTTAAAACCCGCCTGGATACAACCCTGTGCCATGTGCTTTAGTTGACCCTGTGTGTGCAGGGAGGTTGGACTAGATGATCTCTCAAGGTTGGTCTCTTCCAACCTGAAGGATTCTGTGATTCTTTGAATTAAATACAAAATATTATGTAGAATTTGGCTACAAGGCTCATAGAGCAACTCTCCTCTCTTAAGAAAGGCGAGATCAATGGGGCTTTCAGATTGCTTCTGTGAGAGGAAGGCTGGATTCTTTGATGTCTCTTCCTTCATTCCCTCCAAGAGGGAAAAGGGAGCGAATGAA